TTAATTGTACATGAGACCTGTCTTCGGAGGCGACCGACATCTCCGTCTCCCCTCCAACCATTGCCGGGACGATACGGGGTATGGTCCTGCTCAGTCACAGGATAGACACCGTCATCGAGCGCGGTCTGCGGTCTGCGGTCTGCGGTCTGCGGTTAAACGGGACTCCCAGCTCTCGAACAGCCTTCTCTTGCTAGGGCCGGCGGTGGCTACCTGAGATAGGGGACGGCCAGGGCAACCCGAGTCGACGACCCGTGACCTTGAGTCGTCCGTACTCCGTACCTTGGTTGGACCATCGAACTGTTCCGATAGAGGGGCAGCAAGAGACAAAGCCCAGTGGAAAGGCTGCAGACGGATAACTAGCTAGCCATGAACCAGTCTAGGGCGAGGGAGGGGGATTAAAATCTCAGATACTCACGTGGATGCAGGTATACAGTCGTTGCATTCCTTCATGCACCGCATATTACGTTCTTCAGACAAGGGAGAATATGCGAGGATGAAGAGAGAGAAGGCCAAGGAAAATGCCAGGAAAGAAATAAGGAATTGACCAAGAGTTGATCTGCTTCAAGGTCCTATCCCCGAACCCCTTCAGCTCGACCCAACCGTGAAGGGTAAACGGACGACCTAATCAACAACACGCCCTGGGTATGACAGGGCTCCAGTAGGGTTCAGGTAGGGACGTCAGAGGCGACATGTCGTCTACACTTCATACTGCTACATCAGCAGGATCAGTGTCTTATCTTCCGTTTTCAGGAAGCCTATCCCTACCATCAACTCCTCGCATCGGTATAAGGCAGACGAAGAAGGTGGTGCTATGAGGTCAACCCCAGACAGCTAGTTACACAGGGGGCGAGCGGGCACATGAGCACCCTCTCCCTCTCTTTCTCTCTCTGTTCCTGATGAATCGGTTGTTTCGTCATTGCATCGCATTGCATTGCATCTCTTAGTGCGTACCCCATACTGGAACCACCTCGACGTGTTAGGCGTAGGCGAAATGCAGCACCACGATGCCTGGCAGGTGTCACTGCTCCTTGCTCACTCCAACGATAACTCTCCAACGCCGTGCGAGGTGGACGATCGATCCCGTGAGTTGTGTCGGTATATACTTAGGTAGCAGAGCCCAGCATTGAGTTTTCCCATCCATCAACTCTGTCGGACCCTATCCATCCCTCCATCCTTCCATCCCTCTTCCACATGGCAGCTGGGTACTCTTTTCCGAAGGTTGCGTGTCCTTTTCCCTTCTCGTGCGTTAATCCCGCCAGCCATAAATATCAACGGGCCATATAAAATAGAGTGATGGAGCCCCGGCAGCCCGTCATGACGAGCGTGGATGCGACGGTGATGGCACGCTGGCCCAGTTTTTATCTTCGTCCTGTTCTTCTCTCGTCCTTTTTTCCTACTCATCCCGAGCCTCCTTCCAGAAGCTGCATGGAAGCCGTAGTTACGTAATACCACCCAGTTTATATAATACGCGCCCCACCGATCTTCTTAAAAACATGTACCGTAATATATCATGTATCGTCATAACTTAGTCAGCCTCTTATATAAGTTATTATATAAGCACTTAGTAAGCTTGACAGCGCAGCTCTCCTGACCGCGTACATATGCATAACGGTGCTATATTATTAGGAGCACAGCGCAGCATCGCACTCGGTGCCTCGCGCAGGCCTGGCGCAGTGCGTGCTGTTGCGCTGTCAGATCGTCCCAAGAACCAACTGAAAGGGAACCTCCACCACACCGGGGGTGGCCACCCATCCCCATCACTCGCGTCGTCAGGCTGAGCAGGCATGAAAACCGGTTGGTGAGATGTATGGTCTGTATGTACGTACTCTGTAGGTACGGAGGCAGCGGACCGCCTTCCCAAGCCTAAAAATCCAGCATTCCCGGGCGCCTAAAATAGGGACTGGTGGTGCGTGAACGAGGTGATGGGGGAGGGCGATAGGGCTACAGCGTCGCCAACACAGAGGTCAGCAGAAAGGGGAACGTCCGTCATTATTAGACCTAAAGGAAAAGAAAAAGAGAGAGAGAGGTCGGTGAAGGGATGTTAGGCGGGGGGAATGTACACCCCAGCGACCAGTTACAGACATCTAGGGGCGAAACAGTTAGACGTGCAGAGTCACAAGGACAAAGACGTGGATATGGGGGCATGGAACATGGCTGCTCGAGGGCACAGGCACGGGTATCCTCCAGTGGCCAGTAGATCAGGATCAGAGTCGCATGGGAGAGCTTGCTCTGCCTCTGCATCTGGCGGTGAAGATGAGGCTTATTACTTGGGTGTATGCTGCTCTGTTTTGGGCAGCTTTACTCCAGGCCCGGTGGTCATGTCATGCCATGCCATGTCTTTCAAAAACAGAAACATCGAAACCTCGAAAAACCCTCCGTTCCATGCATGGCTTCTGTCTAGATCACTTCCAGATCGGAATAGGTTCGTCGTCTCTTGTCTTGATGCATGCTTGACGTACCCGAAACAGCGGTTCCCCAAGTTCAATATCACAGCAGTCACACACACCCCATCACACATCCATAAGTAAAAACGAAGAGGGGGGCCATGATCAGACCGTCTTCTTAGATGGGGGATATAATGTAATGTTCCACGATCAGGGTAGGGCGGTTGAGCTGAAAGGAAAGCAATTGGAACACGTCAACCGAGTCTCCTCCACACGCCCATCCTCTTCTAATGCTCCCTTATAACTCAACCTCCGCCCTATCGATCTTGAACATCGATCACCCTAGCTCAGAAAAGCGAAAAAGCTCATAAACAAAGCGCAGTCCGCACATGACCATTCTCTCAAACGACCAGTTCCATTTTTTTCTCTCGTTTTCTTCCTCCTTCGTTCTCCTTCCCGCTGGCCCCCCGAGACTATTGCCAATTAGCGTCCTACGCTCGTCTTTAACGGCCGTCGGGCTCAGCCAACCGCGCCACCATCGGCTTTGCACTTTACTTCCCCACAAACAATCCAGCTGTCCGCTCACACGAACAGACAAACAAAGATAGGATAGCCGTTGTGTGCCAAGCCGTGCGCTAAAAGGTGATTAAAAAAAGGCTCACACGGTCAGCAGCCAACAGCGGCGCTTACCCATTGTTCAGTCGACGTTGGAAGTTGCGTAAGAAGAAACAGGGGAAGAGAATGTGATATCTTTTACATCTTTTATGTGAGCGCTAAGCTAGATTGACACTATTCCTTAACTGTTGGGAAGGGAAATAAAAACCCGGCTTGTAGATTGCATATGTAGAGCCGGTGAGATTCTCGTTCCCCCGGCGTATTCCTGTAAATCGTTCGGCCTGTCGGTCTGGTCACGTCGAGCATGACGGAATCAAGTCCATGGAGAAATGAGGCGTGTGTCCGATAGGGCTGGACTGTTAGCTGTACGAAGTACATTTTACACGTACATATGTATATGCATCTCAAGAGCCCTAACAACAGGGCCTAAATCAGGCTTCGTCCCGTCCCGAGGCGAGGCATGGACAAATAGACAATTTACATCGGCTAGAAGGGAACCGATGTACGGATAAGAATAACAACATGGTCCCAGCCAAACACACGAACGACAAAGACGAGGCAGACGAGAGACAAGACCAGAAAATAGAGAGAGAGGAAAAAAAAGCAAAAGATGACGAACACGGTGTGCGTGTGTCGTCTGGCGGTGGTGATGGGACAGGCGCTCCCTTCAGTCGAGGAATGAGATGGAGAGGACGGCGAGAGAGGGCGATGTGACTGATGAGCTGTCACCAACGAGTGGGCAGGTAACAGGCCAGGGAAGGGAGAAGGAGAGAGTCAAGTGACTGCTTTTTCATTTCTTTGCACCTCCCCTTGACAACTTCTTCTTCCTTCAGCCGCCCTCGCGCGCCACAGCACAGCACAGCGTAAAAGTAACAAGAGTACTGAAACGCGGGCCTAGCGAGAGGGCTACGACGAGCAGGTCACCTACCGCATTCAGGATCGCGAGTCGAGGCAGGGTGTGGGCCAGAGTGAGCGCTCATCCTCTCCTTCACTGGGCGCAGGCGAGAGGCCAGACGCTCTCCTCTCCCGGATACGATGGCGATAGTCCATAGTAGAGCAGCGCTATAGAAGTATAAGATGGAGGTCAAAAAGCACAAAAGTCGAAGGTTGTAAAGGGGGAATAGTGGCTGACTAAGGCGATCGTACCGTAAGTAAAGCCATACGCGTACAGACAAGACGGTATCATACGCCCAGCGGAAAAGACCCGGCCAGGGGTCTGCTTAGGTCATCAATAAGTGGTAAGTTACCAGGTCACGGTACCTCGTTTTCTTCTTCCGGCTTTTGTTTTTTTTCCTTTCGTGTTTTTTGCAAAAGATCCACATTTTACCTTTTGCAAAGCTATTTTGAAAAAAAAGGATACTTTCTTTTCCTTGTTTTTGCAAAACGAAAACGAAAAAAAAAATAAAAAAGGTTAAAAATAACGCCCCTAGGGAGAGAGATGGGAGGTACCTTTACGCCTAAAGTTGGTAGGGAAGTACCTCGCCCACAGCTAGAGTGTGATGTCCCCTCGGGGCCCGCCCTGGCTGGCTCCATCATCAACTTCTTAAGTGGAACGTCCCCGTCCTTCGCTTCGTTCACACATAAGCCCTCTTCAACGTCTCTCTCTCTCACTCTCGACTCTCTCTCACCTCTCTCTACTCCCTCCTCAACCTCACATACGTCCACGACTTGTACTATTAGTGCCATCTCTCTTTGTTGTTTGAGAGAAGGGATCACCGGATCTACTACCGGAGCATCCTGCTTATATCCCGTTTGCTGTCGCATACCAATAGATACGCTCCCGCAAGGAGAGACAAGAGACGACAAAGGAGTGTACGTTATAGGCAGCTTCACCGACTGCCAGACCTGCACACATATCCCGGACCGGTCCCATTGAGATACGTGTCAAGGAAAACGAGACGACAAGAGGCAAGGAAAGTTACCAAGGAAAAGAAGATAGGATATCGGCGAAAGGACTGGGATTGAAAGATTGAAAGGAGGAACACAGGAACAAGAGCCAACATGCCGTCAAGGCTAAGCACGCCCGTCTTGACCGTCGACCCAGCAAAGATTCACCAGGTCGACACCCGCAACCCAGAGTCTCTCCATGGAATGTGGATGGGTGAGTCCTCTCTTCTCTTCTTTGCTATGGTCTTATGGAAGGGCACATTCTAATGATGGGTATAGTCTTTTCACGCTGCGCAGACTTCATGGAAGAAGGCAGGCGTCTTGAAAATCTTAGCTGGCGACTCTGGAACCGCGAGACCTTCTGCGTTGCGCCCCAGGCTCACCTCGAGCAGAGCCAGAAACGAACACATTCCGGCTCCCGTCTCGAGCGTCTAAGACGAGAATCAAAATCCATTCCTGACTTGTCCAGCAGTGTTGAGTCCGCCCTATCCGACGAGGGACTGGAGCAGACACGGTCACAATCCGCCGCAGGATCACAGGGAAGCTCAGGATCGAGCCCACAGTGTCCCTGCACCCCACGAACGATTGAACTGGACCCCAAACCAACCATTGTCGGTGAAGATTCAGTACTCAGCATATCACGAGGAAGGGAGAGGCATATTACCTCTCTTGGACTGGAGAAGATGGTGTATAGTATCAAGGAGAAGAGGAGTTTGGAGCCAATTTGCGTGCCAAAGAGCAAGTCACAGTTACAGATAGAGAGCCACGAGCTAGATGTCACCCCACGCGCTTCTTCGCCTACCCCAGCTTCGACACAGCAGCAACAGCAGCCGGAGGAGCAGGAACAGCCACAGAAACAGCTTCAACACTCCGCCCCAGCAAACAACCGGTCTCTTGACTCGTGCTCTACAGTTCTAGAGCGAGCTCAAGAGAGTGATGTCCCTACATCCGCCTCAGACACCAGCGTCTCATCTGCCGAAATCCCTCGACCCTCATCCTCCGTCGTCCGCGGCTTCTCACCTTCCAAGATCTCCTCCTCATTCCGATCCCACAGCCAACTCTCCCCTTCCCCAAGCACGAGCAAGAACTCAGTCCCCAAGAACTCTCCTCTCAAGCATCAGAAAGGCGGTGTCTTCACTCTTGGCTGTTCCTCAGGCGACGACGAGTCTTCCTTTGAGGACCGAATGGCTATCAAGACCCACCGAAGTTCGCTTAGTGATGGTCTAAATCAGCCATCTGCTCAACACAGCAAGCCTTCCTTCATCAGAGACTCAGCCGTTGCAAGCCATCCAACGATTCGCGAAACTAGCGCGTCAGACGAAGACGCCATTGCCTCCAGTGACGAGGAAGATGAATCCGAGATCTCCGAAAGCGCCATCGAGGACGAAGACGACTTGTCCGACGGCGAATGGGTCGACTCCGTTACCGAATCCGGCCGATCAAGCGTTGACGACAAGCCACTCTTCCAGCGCGTCGACTCGCGACCAAATCTCGTTTCGCGCCGTTCGCTACTCACGATGATGATGCACCAACCCCAACAGAACTTCGCTCCCACATTACGAGGGGGCCCTGGTCCCAACTCCCGCTCTACGCCAACAATGCAACGTCCTCTGGCCCCTGCCGTGGATGACGATGACGAGCATACCGGATCCGACTCGGGCTCAGCAGGTTCTCCGGGCCTAGAGATGAAACGCTCCGAAGTACCGCACTCGCGACCCATTGTGATGACATCCATTCCACCCGGCGGAGTGGTTGCTCGTGCTCACTCCCCACGAACCACGCGCCGAAACATGCTTGCAACCGAACTCACCGAGTCTCTACGCAGACATCTTCTCTGGGAACGTCAGCAGAAGACCACTGCTGCGACTGCTACCGCGGCATTCAAGCGTCGCCATACGGCATGTGACGTGGCGGGACTACAGGAATATCCCGGCGCCGGAGACTCTAAGGGCCAAGGAAAGGAAGATAAGGAGTCGAAGAATAGCTCGTGGAATCACTACTTCGACTACGGCCCATGGGAGTATCACGTTAAGGGATGGTAGACAACGCCACCCCCCTTACCTGAACCCAACCACACCAACTCTATACCCACCTAACACTACGACTTTTATACCCCCTCTACCTCTAATACGTTTGATCGATTCTATGTATTATATTATCTTCCACGACGCTGACGATGTTCCTTTGTTTAACCCCTCTCTCGCCTCGGCCTCCACCAGTGTGTGTGTGTGTGTGTGAATGGCCACCTCGTTCGATACATAATACCTAACTGCCTTGTCTTTTTTTGTTGAAGCTATTGCCTCGCCTTGTTACTGTGTTCCAGATACCCACCACGTCATGTATTTTCTCGCTTTTCTTGTTATTATTTGCATTTTGTTTTGTTTCCTGTCTGCTTCATTATCGGGTCTGGCTGGGTCTGGGTAAACCAGGGGGCGGTGCGGCCTTCTGCTTGTGTTATTCTGCTTCCTCTACGAGAGTGAGCGTCTGTAGTTAGTTTATGAAACGGAAAAAGGAAGAAATAATTAAATATACAAATAAATACAATACGTTGACACCAACATTTAAAAAAAAAACTCAACTCCCATTCTCCCTTTCATTACCTTAATTGCGATAATAATAGTATAATTCTATGTCTATTTGCCCTTTGTCCACGCCACGCTCTAGGCCGAACAAAGGAGTCTTTCTCCATTCTTGTCCCAGCACTGCGGACGGCTAGAGATCGAAAGAAACCTTCGCTAGTAACTTGTAGCTAGCAGTAGCTCATGAGTATATTCAATTAAGAAGGCCAAACACGAGACGCCGGACACAAGACTACCTGACACGGCACGGCACAGAGATCAGCCATCGCCCAACGGCTCAACGTCAGCAAGTCATCAAATCTATCTATAGCACCGTTTCGCTCGAGCGTAACCTAGGCTCGTAGGCCTTAAACGGAGACGATCGAACGAAATTCAACCGCGCCGCGTATAGCTATGGCCTCTCCGAATGCTACCAATGGCTTGATTGAGTCTAGTAGGCGAAGGCGCGCGGTTTATTTTCGCATTTTCTTCTCCCTCGAGGATCGGTGTAGTGGTGTCCTCATCTTACTTGCCTTTCTGTCCCCCCCGTATCGGGGAACAGCCCTCACATCGCCATTGACTAATAAAGGGTGAGTGATCAAAATAGAACATGATACGATGCGATACTACCTACCTACCTGCCCTATAGAGGAATATGAGGAATATAGTTCATTTAAAAGGGCCTGGGGGAACAATGTCCCAATTGCCGGATCCCCTCTACAGGAGACGTGTCGCGTGTTTACTTTTACGTTATCGACATAGGCGAGCGAACCTACGGGATGACTTCGCGGCACCGCGGAGCAAGGACAGAGGTGACAGGTCATGGCAGGATGAGCAAGACGCTACGGGAGGTACTCAGGACACAGCCGAGTTGCTGAGGCTGTTGCTTGGGTTGCTATATTACGTACTATGTATAAGCATATTCAGCGTGGTTAAGCATTTCTCGTATGGGGAAGGGGAACTGATTCCCCTTGATAAAAGGAATTATGGGGGAAAAAAACAACGAGAGAGAGAGAGATGAATGTCACCTACTCTATTTATGCAGAGAGGAACATCAATTCCGAACATCAATTAATAATCCCATCCTTGATGCAGAACGACGAGTATTTCGACGTCAGCCCCAGGCATCAACTCGCAATTAATAAGCATCCGCTCGCGCTGGACGCCGATGCGTTGGCGGTGTGTAGCGGTGTCCTTGATGTAATGGTGTGTACTCCGGGCGTGTGGAGAGAAAGGACGCAGAGTTGACCAGGGTACCCTTTTTTCCCTTTCTTTCCTTTTTTCTCTCACGTCCATCTGACCAGAAAAAAAAAACGGCAAAAAGCGATTTAATTCTCCGATCTCTCATCTGTCCATCGTCCGTCCTCCAGACACACCATCACTCTTTCCCCTAAACGGCAGCTAAAAAAAACCGTAGGGAAATAACCCTCGACCCGGCTGGCGGGATTGGAAAATATGGATCACCACGAGGCATACATAGTGCTGTTGGGTGACGTGAGGCGAGCTTGAGACACCACGAGGTCTGGTCCATCCCGTTGCTGGCGTGGTAGGTAGTATATAATCCGCCGTGTCTGGAGCTCTGCACGAGCGCTGGCGGCCGGTACTGATTCGAAGCGTGTTAACTCCCAGCACATTATACATAATATCCGATGGGGATTGAGGTCTGCCTTACACGTTAGGCATTTTAGATTAGGCTTACATGGGTCAGAAGGGAGGGTCGGCCGGGGGTGTGTCCCTAGAATCCCATCTTCCTTGTTCACGTATATCTCGGTGCGCGTACTCCGTGCTATGCCCCCATCGGAAAGTGACGAGAGTGACTGATCCTGAACCGCGGCAACCTCAGCCAGGGCTATCAATATCCGATCAGATAATTTGTATTTATCTGCGTTACGAGCCCTGTACTCCGTACGGACCGAGGCCAGGGTGTTTTTGTCATCCATCTCTCCCATGCGCGAATAGGGGATTAACTTTCCCTTCCCCGGGGCGATGCATGCCTTGCCGTTATTCTGGAAGAGTCGGGAAAAGTGCTGCGTCCGTACGCTGGTAGACACGAACGCTCGATGATGTTTTTTGCATGCGTGGTGGTTTTTGAAGGGAGCGTATAGAGAGCCTTGGCAGGCCCGTTGGAGATGGACGTACGGAGTACCTTCTCATACAAACTGGGTGGCGAGGTACTTCCTTTTTCTTGCAAGTCCCCCATCTATAAGTATGTATCGTATCTCGGCATCGCGTTCTCCATGTGCAGCCCCCAGATCTCATGCCATCCCCAGGACTCCATATCTCCATATCGCCGGGAGAACAGATGGAATGTGCCTCGGGATGGTTACGTCAATGGCTCCTTGAAACCGGCGGGGCGCATCGAACGAACTGAACATGGTCATATACTTGAACACCGATATAACTTTCTCCCTCTCTTCATCTCACGTCTCAATCTCCGCCGTGCGGCCGTCCGCTACGGCCCGTTCGCCTTTTTCGCTCTCGCAAACTTCTTCAACTGTTGTGCGTTCAGCGACGAGCGGCCCGGGTAATTATGGAGATCACACAGAGACGGCATTAAGCGGACGATGTTGGCCGTTTCATCGACACCAGGTTCAACTCGTATCCAGAGTTAAATCCTTACAAGAAGGCAGTGACACGGCGTCCTGGCTCATCAGATATTGCCTTACGATCTGCTATGCCCTGCCTTATGTCTGCACAAAAAATAGGATGTCTGGTGTTCGTTTCATACCAATCCGACACGAGTTTCGAGGCCTGGTCTGTAGTACCACGCGGCCCTAATATATGGTCTTGCGGCCTGTGTTTGGAGTTCGGACTTTCCCGATAGTTTGCTTGCCCTTCTGCCCCTGTGTTATATAACTGATTCGATATAACAAACACGATCGAGGGTTCATGAAGCAAGACTAAAACCTGCAAGCAGCTTCTTTTTCGATCATAGGGCGAACTTTCGGTCTCAAAGAAGCTGCGAACTTATCTACTAGCAAGGAATGATCAGATAAACCTCTGTACCTGGCCTGCTTGGGATAGTCGCCGTTAAACGGCTAAGCACGGACGAACTAGATATTGATATCGCCAGTCCAGGCAGCTCAACTAACAGGCAACATGCCTGCCCTGTCTTATAACGGCTTCCAAGGTGATATTATGCCTATGCCGGGAGTTAAGCACAAACAGGGCCAGACGCATGCTCGGCGTTCTTGTCATGAAGGTCGATACCACGGAGATAGCCTTGAAACTTCACCGTGTTTTGTCTGGGATAGCCGATACAAACAAGACTAGACAAAGCTCAATTAAAGTATATCTCTCCACCTCTATCTAAATAATCATCACCATGCTGTATCAAAAACAAAAAAGAGCAACTGAAGATGAGACAAAAAAAAACATAAGGCCCGAGCCGCGATTCGAACGCGGGGCCTCTCGCAAATCAGAGCTCCTAAAGAAGCTCGGGCTAAGGGTTGACCCGAAGCGAGAATCATACCAACTAGACCACCCGGGCTTATGGGTAACTTAAAATCCGCCCAACTGCTGCTATGATCGCCCTCCTTGAACCTGGCTGGTGGGCATCCTGCTGGTAAGATAGGCCACAAAGAGGAGAGAGGCGACATGGAGGGATGACATAGGGACTATGCAGTGTTTACTAAAGTCTGACATTGTTATTGTTATTCCGTGTGTTATTCCATGTGTTATTACCGTGGTATTATCATGTTATCGCCGTGTTATCGTCGTATCATCGTCGTATTAGTCCTATTGTTCATGGGGATATCTGATAAGTCTTTGCCAAGACCAGACATTCTAAGAGATCTGATAAGATGATCTGATAAGATACGGCTGCCTGTGAGCCCGAGGACGGTATGTACCTAGGTAATTATGTATCTTCTCTCCGAGGTCATTCTCTTGACGTACTTCATCTAGGCCAAGTATACTTCGTAGGTAGTACGCGGTGTATGCTGTTACAACTACGGGCTATGCTCTACATACTCTGTACTATAACAACGCCGTCATGATTCCAAATTTCAGACTCCGAACCCACGCTACGGAGTACTCGTCGACGCCATGACCTCGTGCCTAATGGTGTGCCTGATGTGGCTCCCTGTGCCCCTTATTCTCCTATTCTCGGTATATGAGAGGATCGCTCCCTTCAGACTTTCGAGACTGCGCTAAATAGCCGATTTTCAAAGTATAGCTGCCCAAATCGACGGGCCGAGCGGAAAACCGTTCTGGGTAGCGCTGCGTTTTGATATTGGAAGAAGGTTGATTTTAAATATTAGAAGGAAGGTTGATTGTCTTGCTACCGCCACTGAGCTGTCAGAAGGATGCCTCGTGGATCCAATATTGGGATGATACACGGGAGGATGCTAAGCGGGCGACGGGCTGTACCGAGTGTCCGTCTATCGGTCCTGATAGTGGCAAGTTAGGTTCAAGTCTATGGGGAGGCGGAATGCCCTTTGAACTTACACCCCTTTTTCATCCAACGTTCTCGATCGGTGGTG